TAAACGGACCACACAATCTGTCACAACACATCCTCAGACGATGTAATCTCTTACCAGACATCTTCACTGTAGCCTCCCTAGAACTTTTTTGCTATTTAAAAAAAATTTCATCCACATCTAAGCAAAATTATGTTGTATAATCGCCTCTTACAGGAACCAAAGTTGACAAATACACAAATATACAATACAGATGTATTCTACAAATCATACTGAAAAGTTCGGTGTACAATATGTTGATATTTATATGAATTAACGGCCCCAAAGACCTTTGAATTGCACACTAGTCGTCATCTCATTTCGCCCTCCCCCCCAAAAAAAATTTGTCCGCAAGCCCAAAATAATGGGTAGCGAATGAGTTAACTGTTCAGGGAAGTATCACCATCAGACACATTTGTTCCACCAGACACAGATCACAGGTAACGTTGTGGCACATTCTGTTTTAGTAGAGGTTTTACGGCGCTCGCAACTGCATAAGGTCATATGAGCGCCAGAGAGTAACAAACATAAAAAAGATAAAGGGGAGATCAGGACGATAGATGTTTGATAGGAAAGAAGAAGCAAACCCCACCAGAGCACCCGCCAACCACCCACTGTGGCACATTTTGAAACAAACAAACAAACAAACAAACAAACAAACAAACAAACAAACAAACAAACAAACAAACAAACCAAAAGACACACCAAAGAACCGCAGACGGAACTCACCCTCTGCTCCCTTGACGCTGGGCTGTATCTTGTCCGTGTAGATGTAGGACAGAATCATCTCGAAGGCCCCGGGGTCTTTATCCACCAAGAACACCTCCAGCTTGCCCGAGTCGGGGCAGTACGACGACTGGACGGACAGAGGAAGTTGTAGTTTCAACTCTTTAAACCCCACCCCAGCGTCCGGCTGTAACAACCCTGTTCCCATATCGGAGCTGGGAGGGCCCGATACTAGTGGCAACTGTTTCCTTTCATTTAGTGCTAGTTTTTGTGTGTTTTCAGATCTATTTCCAAGTTTTTAAGTAATGACTAAGCCTCTGTTTCTGCAATTTAGAAGTTGGAGGAAAGCTTTTGGGGTAAAAATGAGACATAGTGCAGCAGGTTTTGTAGAAAAAACCCACGGAAACAGCGGAAAAAAACAACCTCAAAAGGGTTAACCCTATCTGTACTCCCGCGGGTATTTTGTACTTCTGGCATAGCAAGGATGAGCACCTGCCAACCACCCACAACTCTGTAGTTTATTACGGACAACTGTTGTTGCTTATTTTACATACTCATCCACCCAATTTAGATCATTTAGGAGTCAGGTTTCCACCCTGCCTGTCAGGCCCCACCAGAGGTGAGAGGGATGCAACATTCTAGCAGAATGGTTGAGACTCTAAGATATCTGTCATGCCCGACCAGAGGTGAGAGGGATGCAACATTCTGGCACAATGGTTGAGACTCTAAGGTATCTGCCTGTCAAGCCCCACCAGAGGTGAGAGGGATGCAACATTCTGGCACAATGGTTGAGACTCTAAGGTATCTGCCTGTCAAGCCCCACCAGAGGTGAGAGGGATGCAACATTCTGGCACAATGGTTGAGACTC